TTTTTTGTCTTTTTTTTTGTTTTTTCATTGTTTTTTTCTGAACAGTATTTACAAGGATCTGACTCTTATTTCCTAGGGAAATTCTGGACTCCCACAAAGTAAAATAATCATCATAGAAAAAGAATGAGCAAGAATAGTATTTGTTCCAGAATTGTACAGTGTTCACCTTAAGTTGATTTTTTTTTCCTCCTTTTGCAATTGAACTGAATACATTTTTCATGCATGTTTTCCAGAAAATAGAAGTATTAATGTTATTAAAAAGATTATTTTTTTTATTAAAGGCTATTTATATTATAGAAACTATCATTAATATATATTCTTTATTTACATAATCTGTCCCATAGTCATGCATTGTTTTGCACCCCAAATTTTTATTGTTAGTAGCAGCATGGTTAGCTTTTCTCTTGGTCTGTAGACGAGGCTCAGGCACTCTCTCATTAATACTAATTCCCAATGTATAACTACTTAAAGAAAACAGATTGAACTTCACCCTTTTTCCCTTTTATTTCTTTCTGTTTTCACATGAATCCCTCATCTTCCACCCTTTTATAGTTAAGAGTGGTTCAATCATATGAAATAAGTTACCAGAATTAACACAATTTAGGCTATCGTCCTGATTACATAAACCCCTCTACTGAGGTATGCTCATGAATAATACTTTAGAATATGAAAGAATAGAAACCATGAACTTTTTTACCTTTTTAAGCTGTTTATCCATATTTCAATGATAAAAATAGGACGTTAAACTATTTTTAAGATCGTTTCCCAGAGATCAGGTCTCACTTTAACCTCATTAAATCTCATTTGAGCACAGGACACATTCTAAAACTTTTTTTTTTTTTAAACAATCACCCAAGATGTAGGAACTAATGCTAGTCATCACTCTAGAATCTGATTTTTTACTCAGTATTTGAAATGAATGATTAATGCCTAGGAGATAGCTTTAGCAAATGTCCAGGTGCCACACCAAAAAAAAAAAAAAAATAGTGCAATAATTTACTGACAGTTTTCTAGATTAGGCATATTATTGGAGAACAACTTTATAAAGAGTGCACATTGTATACTCTAGTAAAACAGCATCTCTTTAAAAATATTCGTCTACAAAATCAGATACTTATAGTAGAAGTCTTGAATAGTGAACAAGGGACTCTAATATAAATATTCTTAGTATCTGGCTGTTTTAGAACCCTTAAAGGGCATAATTATTGAAGATTTAGGTACTTCATTAAAGCATGTATATAATATTGCCAAGAAGAAAAATAAATTTCAAAATTAGAATTTATTTCTATAAACTGTCTTGGAATAGTTAAGCAGAATTTAAAATCTGTTTTAAGCAGGAAACCAGATATATTCTTTTGCAGATACAAAATATCTCATAACTTATTTAAACTTCACAATTACATTTTGTGTTATTTAGCTTATATGCAGTTGATAAATACTAACATCCCATCCTTTTCTATATCAGGGATTGATTATAGGAAAACTCAGTGAAATGGTACAAATCTGAAAATTTGATGGTGGAAACTGAAGAATTAACAGAGAACTGTGTTTTACCCAAGTGCCAAAAAAGCCTTGAGCCTCCTTGCACAAAATTTATGATTTCTCCCTTTTTCACAGTAGTTCCTATCATTATGCCTCTTTCCCCCCAGAACCTCTCCATCATAAAAACACAAGCCTACATAGCTTACTTCATCATTTACATTTATTTTCAAAAGTTACTACAACCAAATTAATTCTGTTTGGAGAAGTATAGACAAATTCTGTAAAGAATATAGATTAAGTGATCTAACTAAAAAGAAAGGAGGACAGGAAGTGTTCAGAAAGGCAAGACCAAAAATCAAAAGCTGCATGGGGTGACGAGATCTATTTCCAGGTACTTCAATATCAGAGAGCAGTTGTCATAGATTGGTCAGATCCTAGAGCTGACCATCCTTGTCATTGAATGTGATGTAACTGACTATTGGCTCTACAGTTTCCTTAAGTCACTTGAGAAGTACTCCTTTAATAATTATTTTGGAGGGGAACAAAGCTCCTCTAAAGAAAAAATAAATAAACCTAACTTTAAATACATTGTAGCAAGAAATAATCAATTGTTTGAAAAATCATGCTTTAACTTTTTACCATATTCTCAGCTATACAAAAACTTTTTTTTAGGATTTTTAGACTGCTGTTAATTTAAATCTGTTAATCTTATTGTGGGATTTGGTTTTTTAAAAAAGATGTTTCTAATTGGATTTTTTAAAAGAAGAGTGTAATTTGGTTGCTATTTTATGATAGAACCTAAGCTTTTTGTGGTTCTTAGTGTCCTCTGTAAAACTTAGTGTCAAAGTAATCAACTTCAAGTTTTTTCCCTTCTATTCTGCTTTATATTACAAGCCCATTGGAAAATGGGAACCTGGTGAATATATAATGAATTGTAAAATATTTTAATGTGTAACTTTTTCAACTGTGAAACTATGACTATTGGTTTTTTGATGAAAACAGCTGCTGATAAAATATTTTGTGTTAAGTGTAGTTCTTATTAATCAGGAAAATGATGGCTTGATTAGACTGTGTATACCCTCTTGGAGTTTATTTTAAATGAATTGGTAATTTTCATATAGGTAAAACATAGTCCATCTGTGTTCTTTTTCCATCAAAAACTGAGTGGTTTAGCATTATAAGAAAAACTGTGAGCAGCCTATTTTAAAGGCGCTATGGAAATGTCACAGCACATGAACTTGGATTTGTTCTTTACATAATGATTTTGTAAATCCGTTTAACTCATATTTGGATCAATAGGCCATGCTTGCCAACTCTCTGAAGAAATTTAATATCCAGCAGTATGTTAAAGTTAGGATGTGAACTTATCTGAGTATCATAAATTCTTGTTTCTCTGTCTGCACAAGCTACAGATCTGGGCTGGACCCACACACTCACGAGTCCACCTTGAAAAACTATTTTGATGTCAAAGACATCACTAAACTATTCAGTTTAAAGGCAATATGTGGTGTTAAAAGATTGTGGTGCTTCTCCTATTTATTTAAAGACAACTTTCATACTTCAGATGTTTTTGAGAAGAGGGAGGGGGCAGAACAAGGAGGAGATGTTTAAATGAATTACATTCTTTATATATCTATCCTGTCTGGAAGGGGCATATCTAACAGAAGGCTGAAAGTTGTGAGAATATATGTGCAAACCATCAGGGAATCAACTCTTCATTGAGGATGGGATTGTGAAGGCCGAATTATAAAATTCAGCACTGACGATGTCCTCAGATAATAATTCTTGGTGACAAAATAACAACAGCTGGGCTGTTTTTTAAAGTAAAACACAAAACCATTTTAATTATTACATTAAAAATTGTAAATATATCTTATGTGCCATGGCCTGGGAAGCCTGTTTTCTTTTCTTGCAAAAAATGATTTCCACTCTCTGAAAATATTATGGGATTTAACTCAAGATAACTATGGTCCCAATAAAATTGGATGGGTAACTCTACCTCAGAAGGTTAATGGCAAAAAAATTAGATGAGTCACAAATCAATACTTCAAGCTCCTATGTTACAGAAGTTTTGCAGAGCACTGTGTTTATGAAGTCAGAACTTGGCATACCTTTCGTGCAGGAAACATTAAGGAAAGATGTTAGCTAAAATTTAATCATTGTTTAGCCGTCTAGAGAAGGCTATAGTGTGAGGAGGTTCATGGTACTAGGTTCTTGATTTGGCATTTTATGTTTATTTTGTTCTCTTTTCTTCTTTATTCATGAGTTTGGTATATGTTTTTTTGTACACATTTCTGTTTGCAAACACTGCTAGACCTAGTCAAGAGGGATCTTTCATAAAAGATGTAAACAAATACATGGTTCTGAATTTCGGAAGAGTTTAAAGTTTATTAGGAGTCTCCCAAGATGATATATTAAATAACCGTATTTATCTCATTCAAGTCTTGTTTTGCACTTCCTCCTTACTAGTTCAGTGCCACTCCTTCTTCTTGGTTTTACATATGTTCCTCTTCCAGCCATGATAGTTAGCAGAAAGCAGAAGGTGTGAGCCATAGGAATATTTTCTGACTTGATTTTTACATGACTACATGTAAGAGCTTTAGTGGGGAAGAATTGGAAGTAAAATTAGTCCATTGTATGTATAGCATAGTTAGACTTAACTGGATTTTACTACCAACAGTAGGCTCCATTCTTCATGTTGGTAAGTACAGAAAAAAGTATTAATATACATTTGATAAGACAAGTAAAGTCAGTGAATTTTATCTGCAACCTCATTTTATCTGTCACTACAATAATTTTGTGGCAGAACCAGGTGTATTTTTGGTTATTGTTATTTTATTGATCCTTTTAGGATCAAGGAGGGAGAAAATCTTGAGTGTTTCATATTAAAATATCTTTAATAAAACTAAGCTTCTTAATTCTAGTACAGATTTCCAAATGTGGTCACAATCTGTTAATTTCGTAAGAAAAAGTTCTTCATCAGATTTTAATTTATGCCCTTAGAGTAGATTGAGAACTTGGCCTTTATCTGACTCTAAAAATCTTTTTGGTTGTGGAGCCCAAGCTTTAAATTGCAATTAATGGCTTCAGTCTTTGGACATAAATTTGGTTAAATAAAATGTTAAAGAATATGTCCTTTTGAAACATAACACCTTAGTGTCTTGGAAAATGTAATACTACCAGAAGACTACTGACACATCAAATGTTTATCTTAGATTCCTCTACAAGGAGCTCAAACCACCTTTTTAGCCTCATTAATTATAGCAAGTCTGTTTCTCTATATTTTGTTCATTTAATGAATTGAAGTCCTGTGGTATATTGCATTAGTTCAGAGACAGATGTTTTTAATGTCCTTTTAACAATGGCCCAAAAAGTATTTGACACAGCAAGATGCATGTGTTATTATATCAAGAATATAGGATAATACAGTATCACTAAATTTAAGACCTCTTCCCAGTCTTGCTGTTCATAGCAGGAAGTTTGGCCTGTGACTGCACCTGTTGTTTGTGCTCATCAGAAACTGTCAATGTCTGCTTTTCTTTAACTTTGCAGTCTGTAACATCACGCTGTTTATTAAAAAAAAAAAATTACCTTGATTTGTGTTCAAACAATCTTTAGTGTATTATGTAAACAAAGAGCTGTGATAATTCTATCTTGCCATTTCTTTTGAAAAGCAAACCAATGTTGCTAATATTCAAAATTTAGCTGAATTTGATTGAAAACCTGAAACTATTATGCCTTAAAAGCCAATTTTTCTAACCTGGTAAAGTGATAAATATTAGAGAAATGTATGTTTAGATATTAACTTCCTTTAACCATAAATAATTTTATACTTGTACTTTCAGCAGACATATATGTATGTACACACAGGTATGAATGTATGTATGTATATATATATATATAGGTAGATGGACTTTTTTCTTCAACAATTGAAAACCAGAACTTAAAAGTGAAGTTAGAAACGAGCTAGTTTTGCTTTCCGTTATCATTAAACATTGCAAAGGGTAAGTCTGGGCTTTTCTTTGACCAGTAATGCACATGGTCATTAATATTTAGTATTTATAAGCATTTAAGCATATCATTGTTTAAATTCTATTGATTTGCCAAATGGTTTGAACTTTTAAGTGACTTTGCTCTCCAGATATAATGTCTGTCTTTCCTGGGATGAACCAAGTAACCTCATCTGAATGAAAAACAATAATTGAAATATATGCTTTGGGTTTCAAATTGGTAGTTTTGATTTTTTTTAGAAAAAAATCACAAGAATTGCACATTGTTGAGGTGAAAGCCAAATTTATTAAAAAATAGAGATGCAACCTTCATTTAAGAAAACTACAGAATTTTCTTTTACAGAATTATTTAAAATAGACATGCATACATATATTTTATTTCAGGGAAGTCTTTGGTATACAGAATGATTTTGTCATAACTTTAAACCACAAGTTCTGCTAAATGTGTGTCACATTTAGCCAAGAGAATGGGGTGGGGGGCAGAGGAATTCTCTCTGGCAGCACTCTTCCCTACCCTCTATACCCATTGTCCAATGAAAAGTACCAAGGCTGACTATGGGAACTCAAGTTTTTTTGTTGTTGTTTTTAGCTACAAACATTTTTGAGCACCACTACTCGATGTCAGAAACTAAGCTTTTTTTTTTTTTAAAGAGAGAGAGAGAGAAAATTTTTAATATTTAATTTTTAGTTCTCGGTGGACACAACATCTTTGTTGGTATGTGGTGCTGAGGATCGAACCCGGGCCGCACGCATGTCAGGCGAGCGCGCTACCGTTTGAGCCACATCCCCAGCCCAGAAACTAAGCTTTGTGTTTCATTGACTCTACCTTATTTATGCGTTAAAAACATGAAGACATTATCCCTGTTGTGTACATGAGAAGAGCTCAGAGGTTGAGACAGCTTTTCAGATTTGCCCAAGAATATGCATCTAAAAAGTTGTTTGGTAGCCTACAAACTGAAATGAATCCTACTCTGAGACATGTTCTCTACCATTCCATACAAAAAAGAAGGTGAAACATCCAAGATCATTTGTTACTTGTCAAGTCAACATTGCTCTATTAAATTCAGCTTATTTACTAGTTTGTGGCTTGAAATTAATTGGTAAAAGGCATTAAACTGATTCAGAATCAGAAGTTTACAGTTTGATGACATCTACACATAAAAGTTGCTTCAAAAATCTGACTTGTGGGCTGGGATGGAGCTCAGTGGTAAAGCGCCTGCCTAGCACACATGGGGCTCTAAGTTCAGCCCCCAGCACCACTAATAATACTAAAAGTCTTATTCTGTTGTCCATTATTTAAGACTTTTTGATAAAATTTTAAAGATTTTTGAGGTACACTGGAAAATCAAAAAAAAATTTTTTTAAGTTGAGATGGACACAAAGCTTGTTTATTTTTATGTGGTGCTGAGAATCGAACACCGTGCCTCACACGTGCTAGGCAAGTGCTCTACTGCTGAGCTACAACCCCAACCTACAAGCAAATTCTTTTCAACTCAATCTGGAAAGCACTTGTGGGAAGAATCTTGTGACACCATTAAAGTACAGACAACTGCTGACTAGCCCTGTGTCGCTTTCCTGCAGTGTGGATTATCTGAAGTAGATGTTGAAATCCAATACAGCTTCTCTTCACTTTACATTTCTAGTCATTTCTCCTGCTCCTGTCATAATGTGCACAGAGTAAAGTGAGCTAATGAAAAGCATAATAAACTAGAAAAAAATGTTGTGGTACTTGGCAAGGTTAAATATAATTAACTATAAACTTAGTTCTCTGGAAAGCTTTCCTCTTTTATCATGAATGGTGAAAAAAGAACTAAAAAATGGTAGGTCCACATTTTATTAACCATGATACATTTTTTTTTAAAACCAGGGATTAAGCCTGAAAAGGTTTACCTATTAAGCTACATCCCCATCCCTTTTTATATTTTATTTAGAGACAAGGTCTCGCTGAGTTGCTTAGGGCCTTGCTAAGTTGCTGAAGCTGGCTTTGAACTCATGATCCTCCTGCTGCCTCACCTTCAAGGATCACAAGCATGCACTACCACGCCCAGCTAATTTTTTGTTGTTGTTGATGGACCTTTATTTAATTTATTTGTATGTGGTGCTGAGAATCAAACCCAGTGCCTCACGTATGCTAGGCAAGTGCTCTACCACTGAGCCCAACACCAGCCCCTCATTTTTGTCTTTCTATAAAGAATGAACTATTCTTTGCCAAGGATTTTTTTTTTTTTTTTTGTACTGGGAATTGAACCCAGAGACACTTAACCACTGAGCCATATCCCCAGGCTTTTTATTTTAAGACAGGGTCTCGCAAAGTTGCTGAGGCTAGCCCTGAACTTGTGATACTCCTGCCTAGGCCTCCCTAGTCACTGGGACTGCAGGTGTGCATCACCACACACCACTAAGGATTTTTTTTTTTTTTTGGTAGAAAAATTATTGCATGAACTATACTGCATAGAGTTAGGCTGACAGTCAAGTGCTCAGTAGATACCTTGGTCATTTGTTTCTATACTGACAGATTCTAGCAAGGGCTAAACTTAGATACTAAGAATAGCTACCTTGAACTCATTTTGCCCTGTGTGCTTCCTTGGCTCTTATGTGAAAGGAGGTTTGGAATAGAAAGGAGGTGAGTCTGTACATATTTACAGAATGAATATAATACACAATGAAGCTTTTAAAAAAAATGTTTCCCACATAAAAATGCAATATGTAACTTTGCGTGGTTAGTGTAATTGGCAGGCAACCATACTTAGGTCTTCAAAAATTTCACTGTGTGAGGGCAGCGCTTTACTTTGGCCACTGTCTTAACATCTCTCTGCTCCTTCCTTTGCTCCTCCCCAAACTCCACAGTTGGATTTGCTGCTGTCCTATAGAGTGTACTCTGCCACTTGCCTGATCTCTGACTGAAGTGCTATATTTTCCACATTGTAGGGACAGACACTGTGTCAATCTCACCATGCCAACAATCAGGGCACCACCTAGCAAAGTCAGTGAGGGCCAGAATAAACAGTGGAAGACAACCATATGGTTGTACTTTTTTATAAGAATGACATCTTCAGATTGTCCATCTGGATAGTAGAAACATGAAAACGGGGTTCCATTTTTGTGATCGAAGAATTCCTTTATGTCCAGGGCACTGTTGAGCAAATCGTTCCTATCTCGATGGCACTTAGGTGTATAAAAACACTAGGAATATGGAGGAGAAAAAAGACGACACTGTCACTAATACCAAGCAACAGCTTCAATTCTAAAGTAACTTCAGGCTTATGCTTGTAGTGAGAAATTTCAGTCTTAGAAAGTGGTTAAATATTACATAGTTCATAAGGAAAGGTTGACAGGAGAGCACAGTGAAATGGCCATTTCCAAGTGCTAAGAAAAAAAGTTTAAAGTTCATTACCATATCCATTAGGAACTTAGGGGACTGTGTTAGGGACTAAAAATGTTTGAGACCTTAAAAATTATTGCATCCAGATTGAAAATAGTGCTTTAAGACATCAAAATGTAAATGTCAATCTAATGCAACTTTTATAATTAAGTGTATATGTAAATTTTAAGTCTTTTTAAGTGGTTGTATAAGTTATTAAAAGTATAACAATCCATTAAATTTAATAAGAAATCTTGTTTGACTGACTTAAGGTCAACCTTGAGTACATTTTAACATTTGTTGATGAATGTGAGCTCCCCATGTAAGACTGCCTACTGAAAACTGCTCAGCCTACGAATTTCAGTTACCAAAACTGGAATAATGCCTCTCCTTTCTGTATATCCTATTTGTCCTCCAAGAATTCTGTAAGCTTCATTTATCCTGATTTGACCACTTTGGAAATGTTTGCTTGAAGGAAACAGACTTATCTCTACAGATGGCTCTAGGTTCTGCACCCTGCTAGGACAGTCTGTCATGAAAGGGTGGTGGTTCTAAGAAATCTATTACATGAACTTTACATTACCTTGGAATTGATCTGAACAGCCTCTTCATTATAATGCAGCAGAGCTTTCTGACCTGAATGGGTAAGGTTCACAAACACCTGAAGACATGGGTACTTCCCCTGGCCTTGGCAGTCCATGCCACAGCTGAAAGCACAGTCCAACCAGTCCTCCATGATGTGCGTGTGGATGGTAGTGCAGTTCGACTCTTTGCGCTGAGTGCTTCAATATGAAAAAATAAATACTCATCTCCTACAGGAACTTTAGTTTCACATTTCTAATGTAGTAGCCCAAGGCATTTGTCTATTTAAAGGTTATAATGCAGGATCGTTACAGAAGCCACGTAATGATAAGGAGGAGAGTGTGGAGGACGTAGAGACAGGATAAACAGCAGCAGATGGCCCAGTTCTATCTCAATTCTGATCCTACTGACATATTTCTCACTATGCCAACCCTAAGATCCCCTTAGATCAATGGTTTTCAAAGCTCAGAATTACCTGAATGTGTATGGTAGAATTTGTGTACTCCAGGGCTACACTCCCAGAGATTCTGTCTTAATAGGTCTGAGGCCCAGGAGTCTGTGTATTTAACAGTATTTAAGATACAGGTATTTGGAGAAATAGACTAAGTAGTGTTACCCTAAGTGCTGTGTCACCAAGATTCACACTGTACACCCACTAGCTTGTCCTCATAACTGCCTTTGGAAGAGTCAACTATAAGGCTTAGTCAACATAACCTGCAGAAAGTTCTGCTAACAAGACACAGTTCCATATACCCACTCTGCTTCCAAACAAACAGCCAAATGCAAGCATACAAGGAATCTGTATTATAATACCTACCACATTTTTGTTTTCTGAAGTTCTTTTAAAGTCAGGAACTACATCTTGTTCATCTTTATGTTTCTTAAAGTGTAAGGCATAGTACCTCTCCCATCCTAAATGCTCCATGAGGATTGTACTAAATTAAATTTTACTTGAAAAATAGTCCTTGAGAATTTGCACATGTACTACATACACGAAATGTCTTAGGTGCTATGGAAGTGGTAGGTAGATAAAGTCCCTGCCCTGAAGATTTTGTGGTAGTATTGAGAAAAGATCTATACAGATAAAATAATTAGAGAACATGCCCAAGAGAGAGTAAATGAGACCAAGAGGAAATGCTGGAATTGTGTGGGACCAGCTCGTCATGCAGCCTCACACATCTAGGTGGGTCTCTTTATTTCCTCTTGCCTGAAACAAGAAGTTAGATTAGCAAGAGCCTTAAAGTCAGAATGCTTGAAATGCATTGTTTAGTTAGATTCATATCACACTTCTTAATACCATTGACCATAAATAATCATTTTTCTTTATTAATATAATAAACTGGAGACACACTATGCAGTTTAACCTGGCTGACCTCCAGGGGCTATGGAAGTGGTAGGTAAATAAAGTCTCTGTCCCTCCGAATAAAAACCCCTAGAAGTGGGGCAGTGAGAGCAGTGTCGGGGTGCTGTGACATAAAGGTGTTCAGGCCACTTAGCCTGCTTTTGCTGGTTTCTGAGAGGGAGGACAATGAAGCCCAGGAGCCAGGACTTCAGCAGCCTCCTGAAAGTGTTACAGAAAATGTTCTCTTCTGGAACATCTAGAAGGGAATGCATCCCAGCCAAAGCCTTGGTGTTAGCCCTGTGACACCTGAGTCTGACTTCTGACCTACAGAGATGTGAGATGATCAATTTGTGTTAAGTTAACCAAGCTTATGATAACTTGTTACAGCAACAACAGAAAACTAATACAGACACTCAAAATACTGCAAACGTTGAAAAAAATGGAGGTAGACCTAGAAAACTTGTTGGGCAAGTGAAAATCAAAAATAGAAAATAAAGTTATTTTATAGGTTTAGCTCTGGCCTGCTGCTTCACTAAATTAACCTATGTACTTAACCTAGGCATCTTGGGATGCTTTCTTATCTCTTAGAACCTAAGTTCTCTAAAGCTGGAGCAAGTACAAACAATATGATTTGAATCTCTCCTTGAAGAGTTCAAAAAGCTCTGCTATAAAGAGTATGACATTCTGTCCTACACACAAGAGCCAGGTTAGAACCTGTCAACTGGAACCAAGAACATATTTTTAGGCAGGGGGGGCGGTGGGACTGGGGATTGAACTCAGAGGTGCTTAACCACTGAGCCACATCCCCAGCCCTATTTTGTATTTTATTTAGAGGCAGGGTCTCACTGAGTTGCTAAGCACCTTGCTTTTGCTGAATCTGGCTTTGAACTCACAATCCTCCTGCCTCAGCCTCCCAAGTTGCTGGGATTACAGGCATGCACCACTGCACCCAGCTTGAACCAAGGACATATTTAGGACTAAAAAGTAAACACACTCTTTCAATAGCATTGTGGGTGTATTTGTCAGCAGCTGTGACAAAAATCTATCATCACTGATGGGAAAATGAGGGATCAAGATCATGAGAATGGGTAAGAACTATCAAAATCTTCCTAACTACCATATTTTCTGGAGCAGAACTCTTTGAGATGGCACAAGATGAGAGATGTGAACTCATTGCCCTTAAGCATTCACTTTATTACTTTAACCAAACAATTTCCAGAAATACTTAGAAAAGTAAACCTTAAATATGAGCAACAGTTTGGTGCCAGATTACAGGAGGTATCCTCAACCCATCTCCCAAATAGATCACATTTTTAAAAATAATCTGGTCTGCCTGTGTGTGCATATTCATTGTCTCTCTCCTCTCTCTCTCTCTCTCTCTCTCTCTCTCTCTCTCTCTCTCTCTCTC